GTAAAAGAGCATGCATGCTTTGTTTTGTTGATTCAACTCGGCGGGCTTCCTGTATCACATTATATATCTTGATACCTCTCTAAGAATTAATATACAGTGTTAACACATTGTACTAAGATGTTGGACATAGCTGTGTCTGTATCACCAGTTTGGGTGATTGAAATGGTCATATCAGTCACATCTTTCAGTTTCTATTCTGTAAAGCTGATTTAAGATCAGATTATATGGAGCAATCTCTTTCAATCATCTGTTGGTACCAGGACAAATAGAAAATCAAAATTGTGCTTAATTTGTGATGGCTGTTTTCATTTTAAGCTCCAGAAACCCCAAGTCTGCCGAGTACAAGGATGATATGGTGTTCAGTGCCTACAGTCTGTGTGGATGGATGGATGGATGTGGGCGACTTTTTATTTAAAAATGCTGAACCGCTTGTTTTGGTTTTTGTTGTGTACCTGCCTTGAGTATAGATGGAAATTTGTTCATGAGAAGCCGATCTGCCAAAAATTAGCTACTAAAATGACTTCTACTTTATACATGACTGATATTGGTAGTTCACATGCATAGGTTTATCCCTTTCAGATTAGTTCTTTTTGTGGCAATATCTCTTTTTAGAGAATATTTTCAGTAAAAAAATATTATTTTCAACTGGTACGAGATCAATTGCTTTGATACTTGGTATGTAGGTATTATGACTGGACCTCTGTGATGATAAAATAGTAAAAACTGCTTTTTATTGGCTCAACGGACCATAGGTTTGCTGAGCCTATGGGATGGGTTTCTGTCCTGCATCTGTCTGCAAGACTTCTTCTCAAAAACCGCCGAACCGCTTGACTCTATTTTCGTTGTGTGGATGCCTTGATGACTGTACATGGTAATTTGTTCATGAGAAGTCGATCTACCAAAAATTATGCAAATTAGCCCCCCAAAACTCTAATTTTTTCTATTCTACTATGAAACTAAGTGCTCTTCAGTGCTGATATTGATAGTGCGTATGCCTTGGCTTGTCCTCTATCAGTTTTGTTAATTTGGTAAGGAAATTTTCAATTTCCTAATTTTGGTGAATATTTTAAAATGGTCATTTTTGGTCAAAAATGCTATTTTCGAATTCTTCTCTGAAACTGATGGTCCGATTGCTCTCAACTTGTATGGTATATACGTTGGGTGGACCTCTATCAGATTTGTTCATTTCATGTCCATATCTTCAATTTTCTATTTTTAGCAAATATTTTTTGTCATTTTTGGTCAAAAATGCTATTTTCGACTTCTCCGAAACTGGTAGTCTGATTGCTCTCAAGCAAGCATGGTATATACGTTGGGTGGACCTCTATCAGATTTGTTCATTTTGTGTTGAAATCTTCAATATTTTGTCATTTTCAAAAATAGTACTTTTGACTTGCTCTTCAAAAATAGTACTTTTGACTTGCTCTTCAAAAATAGTACTTTTGACTTGCTCTTCAAAAATAGTACTTTTGACTTGCTCTTCAAAATCTTTGATACTTGGTACACGTGTAGCTTGGATGGCCAAATTTATCAAAAATTTCAGAAATTCATGATTTTTTTAATTACCTACTCCTTAATGCACTACAGTTTTCGGGAAAATGGACAAAACTTGGATGCCATATTGAAATTATATGCTTACAGAGAGATATATAATGTTTCCCATTTGTTCTGTCAACTGTTTCTCATTCTCACATAGCACATGGGAGTTCTAAGTTTTCTTTGATTGGTCTATTGTGATTGTAATGAAAACATAACCACTCAACATATTTAAATGTGTATAGACATGATTGATTTTGGTGGAAAATTATGCAAATTGCCTAATTCACATACCAATATTTAGGCTATTTTGGTAATCTCTTGAGAACCATTTAATATGTTTTAATAAAACTTGGTGCATAGATGTGTTGGGGCAGTTTCCAGATATATTTAATTTTTGGTGGAAATTTATGCAAATTATAATTTACTACCTTGTTTTGACTCATTTTTTGTCTAATTCAATTATACTGGCTATATGGCTGCATAATGCAACCTGATGTGGTTTTGGTGGACACCAACTAAATCTTGAAATCCATTTGTTGAATTATTGCGCAAGGTATGGTCATACCGTAAGCATTATATATATATATATTCGCCTACAGAGAATGCAGTGTATTTGATTTGCTGTGTTGTAGTTTATTATGTGTCGGTATCTGTATTTATGGAAGTCTGTATACGCATGTCTGTTTCACCAATATTTGATTTGCTGTGTTGTAGTTTATTATGTGTAGGTATCTGTATTTATGGAAGTCTGTATACGCATGTTTGTTTCACCAATATTTCAACAACAAATACTTGGATTTCAATGATGCTTTGTGATGTGCAGTGGAAATATGTAATGTGAAAACTTTTTTTTAAACATGGAAATAACACTTTATTTCTAGTTTCTCAAATGAAAAAAATGTTCTGCAACAGGTAATTGGGCCTATTTTTTTTATTCTAGAGAAGTGGACTAAAAACAGCACGACCATCCCTCAAACTGGCATAAAAAATGCTGACCCCCTGTAAAACATGAATGACCCTTGCCATGATCCTCCTTCCCCTTGGTAATAAATGCCCCATTCCCTGTTGGCTGAAATAAATAGACATTCAGATGTTGTAATAATAATAATCTTTATTGAAACCGTATCCCGGAGTGGGATCTTGGTTGAAAATACAATAAAGTAATACAAAAAAGATAGCAAACAAAAAAAACAAAAAAAAAACACAAGACATTTAAAGACAATAGAAAATAAAAAAATTAAATTATTTGGTGGTTGGTTGAGGTATCTGGCATTTTAAGATTTTTTCTTGTCGTAATTTGTAACAAGTGTGGATGAATTTTCCTAGTTCAATGATTGTTTTGTCATTTTTAATTTTTAGTATATTTGTAAGTTTTTCGTCATCCGTCCCCAAGTTGCTTATATTGTATTTAATATTGTTGATCATGATTTCTCATTCCTTCTTGTCTAAATCACAATTGAGAAGAAAATGTTTTTCGTTTTCAATTTCCTGTTTGTCACAAACTGGGCAAATTCGGTCCTCCGCTAAAATGTTATTATATCTGCCCCTTTCGATTTGAAGGGTATGAGCACTTATTCTGAGTTTTGTCATAGCTGCTCTATGATTTGGATTTTTGATTGTGGTGAGATATTTTTCATATGCAAATTCTGTTTTAATTTTCCTATAGGTTCGTAACTTGTATGTAGCAGGGTTGCATCCAAACACTGAAGACTGGTATTGCAAAATCTAATACTAGGGGAGTGTGCATACACGAGCCTGAGTAGAGAGTAAAATCTAGAATATACCAGGAAACTGCCAATAATCAAAACAAAATGTCTTTGACTCTGGTAGGAAAATAATCTATGCAGCCACGGCACTCTTGAAAAACAACCTGTTGCACAGAAAGAGTCTGTATGCTATAGACGTGTTGGAAGGAATTAAAACTGAGTAGGCAATAGTTATAGAGGGGTTGATAATCTGTTCCTGGTCAGTATTGTACAAGAAAAGAGAGAAAAAAACAAAAAATACCCCTCCCCCCCTGATAAATTACAAAAGGAAAGAATCGAACGTCTAAACAATATCATATTTTTAGTCATGATTATACTCTGAATTACTACATTGATGATTTTTTTAAACAGTATCCCAAATTGAGCACTACAAAAAAGTTGTGAAATACTTCTAACATGACAAGAGTCCTGGATTGACAACTAATTCTACAAGGCATACAAGCCTATAGTTAGAAAATTGGTTGGGTAATCTTTGAACAAGGGATATGCACAGGGAATATCACAAATATAAAACATAATAAATATAATAGAAATACAAGACCAAGATCAGCGTTTACTCAAAAATTTATCTATCTCTCTGATGGATGTTGATATTAAAGTGCTTTGCTAAGCATATTAAACAATCCTTACCGAATATTATGGGACTTACGCAAAGGGCTTTTGTTAAGGGGCGCAATATGGGAGATTATATCCGCCTTATAGATGAAATTTATGATTATACTCAGTCATAAATAAAATTTACAAGCCATATTGCAGGCTATTGATTTCGAAAAGGCTTTTAATATTTTTAACTAGCAATACTTGGAATGTATGTATGAAAAGATTAAATTTTTGTGAACCTG